GGAGCTAATTTTATAACTGGCAAGACAGAAAAGCAGATGGTTCCCTAAGCCCTGGTAAGGGAACAGACACATCTTACTAGAGGTAACAGAGAAATCGGATTCCCAGTTAAAAAACTGTATGTAAGGCCACCCAATACAGAGGGAGAGAGGACAAAGAACAGGAACAGGCTCATGTAAAGGAAGCAGGAAGAATGTACTATGAGATGTTGGGTTGCCCAAAATTTTTTATTGGAATAAAATTAAGCCGTTTTGAGAGATCCTTGGCCCAGGTGACTGCCTGGACACTGCTTAGTGTGGATGCCTGTGAGAGCAGCCTAGAGGCATGGACTGCCAAAACATGTTAAAAAGCTAAATAAAAAGTACATGTTTGGAAATATTTAAAAACAACCATTCATTTCCGAGGGCAGACAGCTGGAGGAAAAATAATTGAATGTAAATATATTAAAATTACAAGGGGGGAAGCAGGTGGCTTATGCATTAATGTGGAATCCTGGCCACTTAGTGAGTATTGCTAGTTGGCCTTCCTATCAGTTCAGATTTTGCTACACAATGTATGTTGACGAGCAAATCCTTACTTATTCAAAATGCACTAAAATGGTATCCAGACCTGGGGTCTCAACCATAAATTTAAAATATTTATATGTAAAGACAGAGGCAGCAGCTAAGCATCACTGCCAAGCCTGGAGCTGATTACCCAATGATGCACAATGAACTTATCCCCTGTGGTCCCCTCTGCAACACTGATCCTTCTCATGCCACTGCAGCCACAAGCAGCATGGAAGAAGAGGTAAGCCTTGCTGTGTGGCTCAAACTTTATTTGAAGTGCATATGTGGACTACAGAAAAGCAGCAGAGCAGACCTGCAGGCTACAGGCCTGTCTTCAGCCTCCTGCACATTGAGTAGGGTCCATTTGAAGCAGTGGCTGGAGAAGGTGTTTCCTGAACCCTCCTCAAGATCAGCATCTTCTTTATCACTGGTTATTTTTTCTGCACATAGTACAGAAAGGAGCATTGCTTCCTCAGGGAAGCAATTGTACAGGCACTGCACAGGAGTGCTACTCTTCAAGCTGATTGACCGTCGTAGACCAAAGTAACATTTGTGGTCAAGAACAAGGCTTATGATCACAGCAAGATCCATATCTGAAAGTTACAATCTCACAGCTGGGGGGGAAAGAAAGGTTAAAAATGCTCTCCTAAAAAATGCTGCTATGCCATCATCCTGTAACAGTCAGGATCTCGTAATTTCATCAAGCAGTAAACTCTAACAATAAATGTCCCCACAAAGCTTCAATAAAAGCAGCAGATATCACTCTCTCTCCATCTCTCCTGATGGAGCTGTTCCATTTTTTATACATATTTAAATATTCATTTGGCAAGAGGGAGAGACTGACAGTGGCTTAGTACTGAAGACACTCGCAAGGGATCTCTCAGACCCAGATTCAAGTGCTCTCACAGAATAATACAAAGTATTTCTCTAGTGTTTGCATCAGGATTTTGCTTCTTGGTTCCAGCACACATTGCTGGTCAAGAACAGAGAGAAAGGAGGAGACTTGCCCTGGGACAGTGCATAGTCCAGTTATAGGGCATTTACTTGGGAAGCAGAGATGCTCTTAACCTAAGTGAGTGCCTTAACTAACAGCTGTTGGGGTAAAGTTCCCTCATGCTTTCTCAATGCCTTTGTCCCTCCATGGGAAAAAAAAAAAAAGAAGTCCCCCTGGCCCAGAGAGGATCCCTTCCATCAAAGCCCAGTTCTATGAAACATTTTGAGAGGCCAGAATTTTCTGATGAAATATATATTCCACTGGAAAGTTCCCAACCAGCTCTGTTTAAAACAGGGTTGGCTGTAGTGGCCCATGGTTTAATTCAACTAATTAAGAGAGAGTTTGAACCCTCATGATTGCACATAGCATCTTCAGAGTGCAACAGATCAGTAAAGGCAGCATGCTTTGTTATTTAAGTGAAGAACAGTGTTCCTAAACAATTTATTGTCATTCAAACTCTGTTGGTAATGCAACTGGGACAGACATTTTTCAAGGGGAGTGTCTGACATCTGTATGAGCACATAAAGGTTTTGATCCTGTGTTAATAGACTTCCCTGGTTAATTCTTTTGTTCTGCTTTAGGAAAGAGAAAGGAAGAGTAGCTTGGCTTGCTCTAGTCCCCAAGCGGTACTCGTTAAACTAACAGCACAACATTGCATGTGAGTGCCTTCTCAAGGCTTATATAAGTTTGACTGGCCCTTGTAAAGGTAGAGTTTCCATTTTTAAAACTAACTCAATTTAACTCTGTATTTGGACACCAACTTAGTTTAGATGGATGCCACTTTTCTGTTTAGGAATTAGAATTCACTGGATTAACAGAGGAGAGGTTTGATACAGACAGGAAAAGTGATGAAAATTGAAAACTAGAAAAAGAAAAACAAGCTAGGAAAAGAGAGAAGAGACAACAAGAAAATGAATGGAAAGTTGTAAGACAGCTGGAAAAGAAATCTTTTGAGTGAAGCACTGCTGGCCACTTACAGACAGAAAAATGTGGCCATAGGGAGGGACAATTACAGAATCAAGGAGCAGATCAACATGCTCAGGGAACTGAATTACTGAAAAACTGGCAAATAAATTCCAGATTTTCATAGGAAATTAAAAAAAAAAATAAGCTTTGAAAATCAACATGGAGGTCATTCCTGTGGGCATTAAGCATGTTCCAGTAGTTTCAAGTCCTGTTTCAGGAAGGACCTGACTACATATTTGACTTATCTAGGTGCTTCAAAGGCTCCAGCAAATTCTACGTTTTCCTTCTTGATTTTCTCAGTGACTCACATTTCTTTATCTATATCAGCACCATGTCCTCACAAGCTTTGCAATGGACTTTGCTAGGAGCTAAAATACCCTCCAAAGCCCTGAAATGACTTTTTGTGCCATCTTGTGATTTTATTTCGAAAGCTGCGTGTTTGTGTACTACACTGCTTTCAGTTCTTCATGCCCATGTAGAGAGAGGTATGCTGTCCTTCTCCATCAGCAAACCTAGCGTGGCTCCACATCTGTGCGGGTTTAGGTGGAGAACATAGCAGTAAATGCACAAAAGGTTTAGGTCAGAGGTCGGGATTTTGCTGTGTAAAAGATTTAGAGGCTTGACTTGAGACAGAAAACCATATTAACTGGGTGTTGAGGTTTTAGTTTAGAAGAGCACCTTAAAGCTCTGTAGGGCTTTTTTTTCTTTATACTGCTCACACAGGCTCAACAGAGAGGTCAAGAAAATCCTACTAAAATTAAGAAACAAAAAAAATGCTAAAAAGCTCAGGTAAGCCCTGCTGGTTTTTAAAAGAGACAATGCTGAGGGGGAAGCTTGGGTTTTTAACAGGATGAAATATTTTCTCATATCATGAGCTGCATTCTAAATATATTGCATTTGGATCTTTTAAAGTACAATCTTCTTGGTGAAAGTAGAAGAACAGAGAGCCCAAAAAAGAAATGGTTACTAAGTCTCTCATGATCTAAAATACTCAATAGTCCTTTTGTTTGTCAGACTAAATCTTAAAGATACTAACAGCGTTAACCAGAGACTACACTGCAGAAACAGCACACTAGTTTCTTGCAGACGTGTAAGACCCCATCCAACTTCCACAGAGTCAGAGGAAGGTGGATCAGGCTCCATCTTTCTATTTGTACAAAATTCAAGCTCTTGACCTACAGAGATTTTTGGCCACCTCCCTGCATGGGGGGCTCCCAGTACTGCCTGCCCTTCCCAACTTGCTCTCTGTCTAGCTGAGGAGCTGGCATTCTTATTGTGGCATTTGTGGCACACTGAGCTGTATATTTGGGTTACTTGTGTCTCCATTCCTTTCTCTTCCGACCCCCTGTCTGGCAACAAAATAAAAACTATTGAAGTATATAAAGGCAAAATTGATCACAGCATGGGTTTTCTGTGGTATTACCTCCATCCTTATCCCTTCCATCTCCAGGACATAGGAAAATGGCTCTTATACAAACCGAATCCAAGCATACTCAAGTGACTCAGAGAAGCCTACAGATCCCAAAGAGCTGGAAATTAAATGAATTTTAATTCTATCAAGAAGCTCAGAAATGTAGACTTCACTGATTCTTTATTATTTTGATTTTTTGTTTTTGATTGGGACAAAAATAATCTAAGCTGATGTCTAGCCCTATGGTGCTTCTTTAAAGATTAAAAAGCAATAAGATAATAAAGAATGCAAATGTTCAGACAGCTGCCTACAGGGAGATGCTGTTTGAAGTAACAGTTCTCTCTCCCCCTCTGTTGCAGCTGGGTTCCTTTTCATTATTGGCAAGGAAAATAACAGGTTCGATAGATGTGGATGCAAGTTCATTTTCACCATCAGTTGACTTCTGCAACTTTCACACCATCACTGGATTTGAGAACATGGGCAAGTTTACACTAATGATGATTAAGAGTATTGCTCATACTTCTGAATATTAAATAGAGCATAGGGATAGTATGAAGGGTGGTTTTGGATCACAATCATGAGGACGGCCACAAAACACCACCTTAAAAACTACTGTTCAATCCCCAGCTTTCACGCACACATCCCAGTGGCCTTAGACAAGTATCTGTGATTTACAACCACTCAGACAGAGATTTCTCATCCCCTTCCCCAAAAGGCTACAATAACACCTCAGTCTGAACAAAACGCAGAGCAACTGCACGTAGGGGCGTCAGATCCCCATCACATGCACAGAGAGATGGGTGAAGCTGCAAATGGAGCTCAGTTACTCTGCCACTGCCTGACCTGCCCCAGAGGTAGAGGGAGTCGTGTACAGGGCTGCCTTTAGGGCAGGAAAGAATAGGAAGCAACATGTCAATATCCATCTGAGGCTTAGATCTAAAGGATCATTTCCACCTTTTCTGCTATATGTGAGATGAAAAACTGTTACATACCTTACTATACAGCAGACTACTGTCGACCAAGAGAGGATGGCAAAGAGAGGGACATATACATATAGATGTGTACCTGCAGTCAAGCACTTACTTTGGATTTCCGGCCCCTGGCTTCTTTCTCCGGAATATGTTGAGGAAAGTGTTGGACTTGCAAGGTGCCTTGCCATCCCCGACATGCATACGCACCACATCTGAGGTGGTGAAGGCACTGCGGACGTTCCTCTCAGGCTTTGCTATGATGATGTACATCTTAGGAGTGAACATGCAGCCCAGCGCCACTGTCACGCTCAGGCTCACTGCAAAACAGGTGGTGATGATCTTGTAGTTGCTCCCGAAATAGATAGGCACAAAGGCCAGCCAGATGATACAAGTGGTGTACATGGTGAATGCAATGTACTTGGCCTCATTGAAATTGGCAGGCACATTGCGAGTCTTGAAGGCATAGTACGTGCAGCTCATGATGAGGAGTCCATTGTAGCCCACAGGAGCCACGACACCTAGGTTGCTGGTGTTGCAGATAAGGTAAACTTCCTTAATGCTGGGGTACGAAAGGATGGGCATCGGGGGCTCCAGGATTATCAGCGTGATTACCAGTGTCAGCTGCACACTGATCAAAATGGAGGCAATGACCACTTGGGCCCATGCGCTCATGAAACGGGGCTTGCGGGTACAGATCTTCTTTTTGCTGCCTGCCAGGATGCGTGCAATGCGGTTGGTTTTGGTCACGAGGGCAGAATAGCACATGGCAGAGGAGAGACCCACCAGAAGGCGCTGGAGGTAGCAGGATGTCGTGGTGGGTTTAGCTATAAGGGTGAAAGGGCAGACGTAACCCAGAAAGATGCCAGCAAGGATAATGTAGCAGAGCTCCCGGCTGGAGGATTTGACAACAGGGGTGTCCCTGTAGAGCACAAAGATAAGGGTGACAAACATGGTGACCAGGATCCCCAGGCAGGAAAAGACCACAGCCACAATAGACTCTATATTGCTCCACTGGAGGTACTTTACAGGGATGGGTTCACAGCCTGCAGTGTACAGAAAAGAGACAGAGTGTTAGAAAGGTAGCTTCTTGAAGACAGAACTTTTTTTTTCTGACTCCCAATATAATCCAAACATTAGCTTATACCTACGTGCCAGAGATTATTAAAACCGTTTTACAAAGGAGTGAACTGCAGCATGGAAAAGTTTGGATGAAATATGTTCAAAAAAAAGCCATCGATTTTGGGTGTCCCAAACATTTGCTCATGAAGCTACAAAGGGAAATGAAATTTGGAAAATTTTTCATGATTTTTCTTGAGATACCTGCTGACAAGCCCAGCATATCTGAGGCAGAGCTGGGAACAGAACCCGGACAAACTCAGCACCATCCCTTCATTTCAGCA